GTACTCGTAAGTCGTAACGTCGTCTTCTCTCTCTCTCTCTCTTATATATATATATATATATATATATATATATATATATATATATATCACACACACAAACTGTCCAAGGCGGGCACCTTGTCAAGGTGCTGCCTGCAAAGAATGGCATCTAGAGGGGCCTTGACTCGCAGGCAAGCAACCTAAGGCCTCAGCCACCTCAAGGCACTGAGTCGGCCGTTTTTTAAACCATGTTCTTTTAAACACATGGTTTTAGAATCCATCTTAGTCATACTAAGGAAAAATCCTCAAACTTTAATATGGCTTGGGTAACACAAATTTTTATTGAAATCTGAAGATTCTTAAATAAACATACTAGTTTGTTTTAAAAACCTATCCTAGAAGATTTAAGGATGTTACCTTTTTGGTATTCTACTCTAATTGTCATGTGATGTAATATTTCTTTCTATACTTTGACTTTGTTAATATGTACCATGCATTTAACATCTAGCAAGTTACAAGCCACATAAGCTATAGTCCCAAAGACAATAGAAATATTTTTTACTTTGGAAGGGCCACCAATGGAAAAAAAGAAGTTGTGGATACCTTAAACACAACATAAAATCTCATTGAAGGTCCTTGGAATCTTACCTCAAGGTAATATACTAACAAACATCCAGTGACTTATAAATTATGAACCATTGGGAGATAACAGTTAGCAAGTAAAAGATGGATATATTTCCTGAAGATTATCCATTTTGGGGAATCCAAACCTAGCCATAATCCACCCAAGGTTGTATTGCCTGAAACTATAGCCCCCTATTGGACATCTCGAGGCTTGCAACCTTTCTCGAGTTTGTGAGGCTACATATGAACACGACCTACAATTTTGTTTTTTCACTTGTTGCTTGTAATCCTATGCTCTTATTGCACATTTTAAGGTTCACAACCACTACTCAAGGTACTTGATCACAAATAGAAAAAAACTCTACTTGAGGTTTATTGAGACATCCACGGCCTACGGTTTGTTTCGGGTCAGTCGACCCCTACCTAGACCTGGTTTGGGTTAGGTCGACTTGGACCTACCCACCAGATTGACTTCAGTTCTCCCTTGGATCAACCTAACCCAACTGGGGATCCAACACAGGAATGGACCTAGACGTGGTCGGGTTCAGATCCCCTGGACCAGTGCTTCACTTGTAGGGCTTAGGGGGCTTGTCCAAGACCTGGGTCGAGTTGACCTGATGGGTCCCAAGGTTGACTTAACCTAGATGACATGAGATAACGACCATTAGTCTAAGTCATAGTTTCATCTACATGGGTCACAATCACCATCATCATCATTAGAGCCTTTACCTTGCTATTTGGGGTTGGCTACACTAATCGTGGTCCACGATTTTGCGCTATCAATGGCCATACCCTCAGTGAGGCCGTAAGTCTCCATATCTTTTCTCACTACTTCCAACCATGTCCTTTTTGGACCTACCCCTTGCCTTTTTTTAGCCTTCCACTTGAACTAACTTGCACCTCCTAACAAGTGTTGTAAATGGGTCACAATCAATGTTTAAAAACACAGAACTCAAAAGGTCCGAATCGGTTAGCTAAGTCTGAAGTATGACGGGTTAGGATTCCTTGGTTTTTTCAAAGACTTGAACGGACTCGGTCAAGGGTTGGTGAGATCCTGTCAGACTTGGTAAGACTCGTATCATCTGGGTCAAGAACATCTAGAACTGGCGGGTGCTTGTTCTGTGTGATTCAGGTGAGTATGAGTAGGATTGACTAAGTTTCTAAACAATGGTCACAACCTTGGGGTTGGATAATTCAGCCCACGTGGGCGCATTGAGATTCAGCTATGGGTTCTAAGAGCAACTCTTTTTTGAGATATATAACCATGTTTTTAGATCTTGTTGAGC